ATGTTGTATCATTCACCAGTCTGGTTAGCTGCTGGTATGTTAGTGTTTAAAGATCTGAGTAAAGATTTACCAGGTTTACTGTCGCTGCATTGACGCTGAGTCAGCAAATAAACTCACATTTATTCACTCTAGCCTCCTAAATAAACACAAAATGCTTTTCTTGGAGACTTACTTGTTTTAATAAAGAATAAAACCATTTGTTTTCTCCTAGAATTTGGACCCAAGAAGTAAGAAGTGCGACGAAGGAGCTCCGGGGTCCCAAACTGACCCGGGTTCTCGTTAAGGCCTATGGGAAATCCTACGCTTTAGCTGGGCTGTATGTTTTCTCACTGGTATGTTCTCAAAATTATTTATATTTTATTAATAGTTAAATCACTTCTAGATTTATATTTACACCTTAAATTATATTTTTGCCTAAATCATACATTCACTTTAAAATGTTTTATCAGAAACAGATTATTTATTTATTTTAGTCGCATAAAGTAGCTAAATTAAATTGCCATGTATTGTTTGGTTCTAAGCTTCAGAAACATGTTATCACACTTACAGGTTTAAGATCATAAAACCAACTTTATTGTCAGACTAAGATAAGCTGAGTAAATACAGAAAGTAGCTTTTAAACGCTGCTCTGGTGAGAATATGCTAGAAAAAATGGCTTCTAACACTTTCATATTTAGTCGATACGCCAAACATTTGGTTTGATAAGATGCAACTAAATGTACTTTAACTACCTTAACTCAAACTGGACTTTTCTAAAACTTGACGTACAAGGAACAGAAACACAGACGAACTATAAAAAACATTCAATCGAATGAAAGCAAAGGAGGCAGTTCAGCCGTTTGATGAAGCGGAGGTGAATCCAAACGTTTGCTGGACCAGAAATGGAAAAATCTGCTGATTGGGTGGAAACTTGTTTCTAAATAAAAGTTTATTTCATTAAGTGGATCTAGTTTTATAGACACAAGGCTGTGAAAACAGATGCATCTGGAGTTAATCGCCAAATTTGAACCATTTCACAGCTACGCCTCTGATGCCTTCAGCTGGTGTTGTAGTTACTTTTTCACTTTGTCCACTTTAGTTTGGATAAACTTGTCACCCTTAAAACAAATACATCATATTTATTTTGTATTAAAAAGGGTGGTCTGGTGTTAAAATCCAATTTAAATAAACTGGAATATTATCATAACTCCTCTTTTTTAAAATTAAAATATTTTCCCTTTTTAGCTTCAAATGGTTGCGTGTTTAATTAAAAACTAACAGCTTCTTTCTTTCTCTTACAGGAAGCCATTAAGGTTGTCCAGCCTCTTCTTCTGGGGAAAATAATTGAGTATTTTGAGAAGTACAACCCAGACGATGCTGCTGGTCTTCATGCGGCGTACGGCTTTGCTGCCACCATGTCCGTCTCCACCTTCGCGCTGACGATCCTCCAACATCTTTACTATTACCAGGTTCTCCGAATTGGCATGAGGATTCGAGTGGCCATGTGTCACATGATCTACCAGAAGGTCAGTGAAATATTTGGACGATCTGCAACAGAAATACTGGATTAAATTGTTCCAGTTTCCGTTATGTGACAGGAAAATGTCTCCCTCCAGGCTCTGCGTCTCAGCAGCGAGTCGATGGGACGAACAACCACCGGGCAAATCGTCAACCTCCTTTCTAATGACGTAAACCGCTTTGACGAGGTAAGCTAACGCTAAGCTAAGCTAAGCTAAGTGGTCCGATGTGAATTCTGTTTTCGCTCAGTAGTGTTGGCCGTCTCTGTAGATCATCCTAAACCTGCACTACCTGTGGGTCGGACCGCTTCAGGCGCTGGTCATCGTCGTTTTCCTGTGGTCTGAAATCGGCCCTTCCTGTCTGGCCGGCGTGGCCGCCGTCGCCCTCATGATGCCGGTCCAGACGTGGTTCGGAAAACTGTTTGGCATCTTCAGGTGAGAAACAGGAACACTTAACTCTTCATGCCTATAAAATGTGATTTTAATACTTTGGGTTTTAGTTTACTTTTATTTCGTTGTGACGTTTTGTTTGTATAATTCAGTTAGTTTAATTTTTTATAGTGTGTTGTAGTTTTTCATACTTTGGTTCATTTTTAAGTGCAGAATTAAACTGATTATGTTTCAAGGTTTACCTGGTGGCTGGGTCCTAGGCCGGTCGTTCATCCAGCGGTTTGTCGTGTTTTTGAGTTAGACAATGTTTAAAGTTGACAGGAAATTTGAAAATATCACTTGATAATTTGGTTTTTTGGAAGATTAATATCTGAACACCAACAATTAAGTCTGAAAAAACGAATGCATTTAAAAAAAAAACTTAGATAAATAAGCAATGCTAAGCCTGGTGGGGGCACAAGTAAAGCCTGGTGGCCCGCCAGGCTTATAAAACACCGAGGGAAACCCTGTGTTTACATCAGTTGGTAATGAATGGTCAACAGAAGAAAACATTTAGAAAAACATCTTTCAGTTATTGTTGAACAACCAGTCGACATCTTTTGCTGTCGCCATTTTGCGGACAAGCATCAGAGGAGGAGTATGGAGCGCCGTAATTTACCGTAAACTGCTTGTGTGGAGGAGAAAAATCAATTTCACATCAGTTTGAAAGGCTAATAGGGCTAGTAAATTAATTACCACTTTTATTTTAGTTAACGAAAATGTTTTCTCAGTTTCAGTTTTCATTTTCTTTTTAGTTTTAACTCATTAATAACTTTAATTTACAGACACTTTACTAAATTATTCAACCTCCTTTCTGTCACATTACGGCTGAAAACCTTTTTGCATCTTATTGGGGTTTTTGCAAATAGGGATGATTTTAGGAATAACAAATATTTTTCTGGGCCTAAAGAGCAGAAAGTTTTTGTGAAATCCTTCAACACGTGAAGTTTTCTAATGTTTTCTTTCTCTCCATATTTGTTGTATCCCGTGTTAAACCCCGGCATTGAAGGTGGACAAACTCGCTTTTGAGGTTATTCCCATTCAGATGTTGTCAAACTGGTTTGTTTTGCTGTTTAATAATGAGTCACAATGAAAACATGTTGGGACTGAAACGGAGTGGATTCCTGGAAACAAAGAAGCATCTTGAGATGTTTTCTTTTGCAAACAGAAGTTTTCTTTTCCCACATCTGCGATGGGAGCATTTCTTTCTGAGGAACCTGAAGCGCTCCGTGTTTCTGCAGGAGCAGAACGGCCGTCCTCACCGACAGCCGGATCCGCATCATGAACGAAGTGGTGTCTGGCATCAGGATAATCAAGATGTACGCCTGGGAGAAACCGCTGTCGGCCCTCATCACTGAAGTCCGACGGTAAAAATTAACCTCACGTCTCCTGGTGAATGGAGGCTTTCGGAGAAGTTACTTTAACTGTTGTCAGTGTGGAATTAAGAAATGATCTCCTCCTTTTGCCTCTTCACACGTAAAAACGGATTTAAATGGTTAGAAATGTTATTAATTAGACTTTCTAATGAAAAATAATTATATACATTTGAATGAGCTTTAGTGTTATGATACGATGTTTTAGTCCTGAAAGATTTAAATATTTTCATGTTTTTAACTGGAGTTTAAAGACAAAAATACAGTTTCTACTCAAGAGCTGTTCACAGCAAATCCATCTAAAACCAGATATTTATTCATGTATTTAATTTTATTTATTCTTAACATCCCAGTTGTCCTGTGTTCCTTCGAGAAGAGATACTTTTTAATTTTTTTGTTCTTTATTTGTGCACAATGACATTAAAAGGAGTTCTGATTCTGAATTTAGTGTAATATGAATTTAAAGGTATAGCTACACCATAATCTCAGTTTAATGAGGTATTAAACAGTGTGAGTTAAATATCTTAAATGAAAGATTCAACATTATCACCAATAAAAAAGTTATTTTTTTAGTTTTAGACTAATTCACTTTTTTCAAAAAATGACTTAGGCCGTTTTTTAGGAAGGTGATAAAAACAAATTAATTTTGCTCCATGTTTCAATATTGGTTCAGATTTTTGTTGCTCTGTTTTTTTTCCCAGTCGTCTCCTAAATCAGTTCATGTGTAAAACCTCATTGGTGCAGAGCCTCAACTTTGACCTCATGAACTCATTTTCTCTAACATGAATTAATGATTAACAGATGTTTTATGAAACTCAGGTTATCTGGAATCCTCCGTTGTTACTGCTGACATTTGAACTTTCACCTCTCCTTTAACCTTTGAACCTGTGAAATTCCTTATTTTCATTGCATCTCAACTCTTGTGAAGCTGCCACTCAGAAACAATAATAATTTGTTTAATACTTGAGAGGAATTTCACTTATTTCAGCGATTATTTATTATGTTTTAGCTTGAAGTTATGTCAGGAAACTGGATTTAGAGACTTTCTCTTGAGCAAATGAGGAAAAAAATCAGTTTCTAGATGATTAAATATGATGACAACCAACTTTTTAAATGTTCCCTTAACTTCCATTCCAAGAAAAAAAGCAAAACATTCCCTCATACTAAAGTCATAAATGGTCAGTTTTGGCAGTAATGGATGCCTTTCCGTGACTTTTATCTCATCAAAGCTCTTTGATCTGTTTGAGATTGGAGGCTCCAGGGAAGGAGAATAAATCTGTCCTTAGATCTGCGCTTTAAAGCAGATTTATGTTTGAAATGTACAGAAGTTTGTCCTGATCTTATTCCTGACAAACGGCCCTGGGTGAAGCTGAAAACTGAAGCCTGTAGAATCACGTCAGACTGTTTTTTTATTCCCAGGAAAGAAATCTGCCAGGTTTTAAGGAGCTCCTACCTGCGCGGACTCAACATGGCTTCCTTCTTCGCCAGTAGCAAGATCACGGTTTTCGTGACGTTCGCCGCCTACGCTCTGCTGGGGAACGCCATCACGGCCAGCAGCGTGTTTGTCACCGTGTCACTCTACGGCACCATTAAGCTCACCGTCACGCTGTTCTTCCCTCTCGCCATCGAAAAGATGTCAGAGACGATTGTGAGCGTTCATAGGATTAAGGTGATGTTCAACTCTGCTACAAACTGGATTAAAAATCTAATTTAGTGGTTAAATACAGCAGTAGGTTGATCAAAACATGTAAAAATCTGTTCATTCAGGATTTGAGCAGCTTGGGTGGCTTTAATATCCCCTTAATGCCGATTGATGCATATTCTACACATACATATTGGAAACACTCTGATTTCATACCAAATCATGCTAATATTCGCATATTTTCAGATCAAATACCTGCATTTATGTCTGTTTTGGGTGCAGCAGCTTCTGCTATCCACATTAATGGATATTAATGGATTTACAAATAATTTCAGGCAGTAAAAGTTCATTTCTGCATTTAACAGTGCAAATTAATTAACATAACTTTCATCTCTACTAAGAACTAGAAGCAGCTGCAAACCAGACATATTGTGCTATAATATCTTAAATAAAGATACTTTTAAGACTGAACATTCGGGTGTTGGGGTCAAAATACGCCCCAGCCAATGACAGCAGGGATCCATCTGGCTTCATATTCCCAGTTCAGGCTGGTGGTCAGACTTTTTTTGGGCCCCTTTGCAACAATACAGCTTTGTTAAAACCAGCAGGCCAAGCCGCACGTTGCTGCTGACCCGGCCCGTCCCTGTAAATTCTCCTGGTGGCCTACATAAATCCCGTCACAAAGCTCGAACAGGCTGAAGACCCGACTGGATGTCATTGGCCTCTGCAGTCACATGATTGGATTTAGAGGAACATCAGATTTGTTTCATAAATCAGCACAAAGAAACGAGACATTTCTGAATGTAAAGACTTCCTTTAATCAGGATTGGTGAAAAACATTTTAGTTACACATCAGGAAGTTGTGTTAATATAACAGTAAAACTATGTTTAAAGCTGTAAAAGAATTGGTTTGTACTTTAGTTAGAAATACTAAATTAAAACAAACTCAGTCATTTCCATTTGCATGATTTAACATTTTTCTCTTTTTCTACCAAAAATTGGATGATAAAAGTTTTTGGTTTCACTTTACTATGTTTTTTTGAAGGAAAATTTGAAGGACTTCATAAGTCATTTTCTTTGCTGTCTTATTTATGTTGCATATTTTAAATCTCTTCCAGTTCCAGTGTTAAAACGTTCATTAGAATTGAACATTTATTAATCTTTGAGTTCTTGCATTATTATCATTATATTAATTGAAAATGGTCTCAAAACAACAATATTATCGTTTATTGTAATAACTTCTGGGACAGTTTATCGTCCATTTTAATTTATATGGATAAAATAAACATGGCTGCACAACAAAAACCAAGACAGTTTCTGGTTTCAGTGGTGATTTTCTTAAGAAGCAGGAATAAAAGACTGGAGGACAAAATGTCACCTGCGTTTTGTTATTCCTGAAAATCTTTTGTTTATTAACTTCTTTCCAGAATTTCCTGACGTTACAAGAAGTGGAGCGAAGAACCTTTGAACTGCACCTGGAGGAAATGAAGGAGAGCGCTGTGGCGATGGAGAAGCTGAGCTGCTCCTGGGACAAGGTTGGATTATCGTCCACGGGGATTTAGTGCTTTTAGAAAACGTTTGGAGGGAAGAATTTCATCTCTTGTTGTTGGATCTTCCAGAGTTTGGACTCTCCGTCTCTGCAGAACATTTCTGTCTCAGTGAAACCGCATCAGCTTTTAGCTGTGATTGGACCCGTAGGGGCTGGAAAGGTCAGTAACGGGGAGGTCAAAGGTCAGGCCGTTGGACTGGTTTTGTTCGGCCCCCAACTGCAATTAAAAAAATGATCCAAATTTGACCCGTACATGCAGATGGAGAGTTCTAGTTTTCTGACAAAAGTATTTGTCTTCAATAAAAGGTAAAACCAAGAGACTGACTGAAAAGTGAACTTTGCTGCACCAAAACCAGGTTTCATTCTTTATGAAACTTGGCTAAATTTACCAAAAGTGACCCAAATGAAACTAAATTTATTCAACCGACCCCAAAAGAAACAGAAAACTGGATTCATTTCTTTTAATGCAGCAAATGTGCAAAATTTACTGCGGTGCATTAAGACTGTTGTAAAGAGAAAAGGAGTCAATTTCCAGCAAAACAGTCTTTGAAATGTCTGAGTTTCAAATGTCAAATATACGTCAGAAATATAAAAGTTTTTTCTGAGACTAATCTCTAAATTTCTGAGTTTTTTGGTGAAATTGACATTTTCTCTGCCTTATTTATTTTATTTTATTTATTATGGTCCTAACGCATGTTTGATAAAATCCATTTTAAGTTGTGGACCTACAATAAACATAAAGAGAAATAAATATTATTTAAAAAGTGAACTACTTCACTTGTGTTTTTTTGGCTCGGGTTACAGAAAGTTTAAACGCCCCTGAGTTATTTGGTCAAACTGTCCCGCCTTCCTGTTGCTAACTTTTTCTTTGTGCCTCAGTCTTCGTTGCTGAGCGCCATCCTGGGAGAGCTGCCGCGCGACACGGGGGCGCTGGAGGTCAGAGGTCAGCTGGCCTACGCCTCCCAGCAGCCCTGGGTTTTCCCCGGTACCATCCGCAGCAACATCCTGTTTGGGAGAGAGCTGAACCCGAAGAAGTACGAGAAAGTCCTGCGCGCCTGTGCCCTGAAGAAGGTGAGACGCGTTCACACGTCTTCATGAGTTCAACAGGGTTTCATGTTAACAATATTATAGACGTGAAGTTTGTAGGAATTGATTTATTCTTTAAATTTGTTTTGTTTAGTCAGCAAGTTGCTTCTCTAGACATTTATTTCTATATCAAATTAACTGATCAGAACTCTATTAAAGATCTTTGTCCGTCTTGCAGCTCAAACCTTTTTATTTTTGAAATCTTGTTGCTTTTTAGGATCTGGAGCTTTTTCCTGATGGAGATCTGACTCTGATCGGGGACAGAGGAGCCACGCTGAGCGGAGGACAGAAAGCTCGCCTTAACCTGGCCAGGTGTGGAGACAGTCGCTGACATCATCAAGCTTCATAAACAAACTATATCAGACAAGACATTTTTTATTTTGCATTTAGTTTCACGCAGAAACCATAAATTGCCTCATTTCTTAATAGGAAGTCTGGACATTTCACTTCTCATTTGTCTGTAAATGATTCTGTAAATATTTGTAGGTATTTTTCTACATTTAAATGTGAACTGAGATGATTAAGTAATTAAAACCAAGCTGTTGTTTCAGGGCTGTGTACCAGGAAGCAGACATCTACCTGCTGGACGATCCTTTAAGTGCCGTCGATGCTGAAGTTGGAAAGCATCTTTTTGAACAGTGAGTGAAATTTTCTCTTTTATTAAACATTAATTTTTTAGAATAACATCCAAGTTTCATACGTAAGAAATAGGTTATTAAAATTCAAAATGAACAGTAGATGACTTGAAAGCAGCTGTTAGCTGCCTAACCCTAGATGTTTGATGTTTCTGTATTAAAAAGCCTTTTTTAGTGGTTTTATAACCGAGTTTTAGCTTTTTTATGTTGACTTGTTACAACAGAGTAACAGAAAAAGCCGGAGGGCCGGATCATTACTTGTCTGTGTTTGTTTCTGGCTGCCACGCTTCTTCGCCTGCAGGGTGAAATAAATACTCCTTGGTTCATTTCTCTAAATCGCTGTTAATTGGTTGGCTGTCGATGTTCAGGTGCATCTGCGGGCTGCTGCAGAACAAATGTCGTGTGCTGGTCACGCACCAGCTGCAGTATCTGAAGGCCGCAGACAAGATTCTGGTCCTCAGGGAGGTAAGTGTGGAGAAACTGCTGCTCTTTTTTTTGTATGGATCCGTTTCAGTGTCACTCACCCAACTTCCTGCTGGAGGGCAGAAAGCTGCTGGCTAACGATGGCTAGCTCTGGTTTTAGCTGTTACATTGTCAACATAACACGCTAAGTCTTAAATTTATGCTTGACGTATACAAGAAAAAGGGACGCAGTGCTTTGCTACTAATTGTCAACACTATGAGAACTAAATACCAAGGTCAGGAAAAAGTTACAAGTAAGAGAAAAAAATATGGAAGGAGAGGGAAGTAGATTATTTATGCTAGTTTGACTTTGACAACCTTAGCATGTAGATGTGGTGTAGAATTCGGTGTTTTGCTTTAGTCACAAAATAAAAAAGGCGACCTGAACACCAACTGTGACAGATCATCAGTAGAGCACCACTGTGTTAGATTAGCTGATAGCAGCAGTAGCTAATCTACCACCACTGTGTTAGATTAGCTGATAGCAGCAGTAGCTAATCTACCACCACTGTATTAGATTAGCTAATAGCAGCAGCAGCTAATCTACCAGATTAGCTATTTATTAATAATCACACATAAAGCCTATACACTTAAAACTGTAACAGACTGAATGTTCTGTTCTTTGTGTTGGAAATATTTGAGTGTTTTTTGGTGTTGAATCCTGAAACATAAAGTGCCGCTGTTGTCAGTTGCTATGGCAACGAGTCTGAAAACACTGCTTTTGAGTTGTTCTTCTACTGTTACCTTTCCCTTTGCTGTGGCGCATAGCACTGGTATCTAAAGAATGCATGAAATATCTGGATGGAAACAATAACATGCAAGAGGAAATATGAAATATCTTGGTGGCCTGCAGGGCCACATCATGGGTCAGGGGAGCTACGGGGAGCTGCAGCGCTCCGGCCTGGACGTGGTTTCACTGCTGAGGAAAGACGAGGAGCAGGACTCCGATAAACTGTCTCTGCACAGTCAGTGGACCAACTTCTCCCACAGTTCCCACAGCAGCCTCCTGCCAGCTGACACCGGCTACTCAGACCAACTTCCTGTGGGTATATTTAAAAAAAATGACATTTTGATCCTTTTATACTGAGAAATTAGTTTGTCATGTAACTTTGTTACTAAAACAGATTAATATTTGACCTAAAAGCCTCGGTGGGTTACCTAGGCAACAGCGTTGATGCTTTTGGATAGTGTGGCAGTGTACTCTTGATATTTTTCTGCATTTTAATTGGTTGGAGTGCTGCAGGAGGAGGGGCTTGGATATTTATACGTCAAGTTTTCAAAGTTTGGTATCAACTGTGATTAGTCACAGCGCTGCACTGTGATTAAATTGATAATTGGGGGTTGCATTTTGTGTCGTCGTGCAGGCGGAAGCGGCTCCAACGCTCGCAGAAGAGAGTCGAGCAGAAGGAAACGTCGACAGCCACATTTACCTGAAGTACTTCACTGCCGGCTGCAACTCTCTGGTTCTGCTGCTCATCGTTCTCATCAGTGTCATAGCTGAGGTATGTGTCGTCATAGCGACGCTAAACCTGATTCCTGATCGGTGAAAAATTCATTGTTCAGGTTTAGTTTCTATGGAAACTAAACCTGGAAAAACCTGGAGATCTGGAGTGAAAACTAAAGGAATAAATTAGTTATATGACAAATCAAGTTTAGTTTGTGAATAAGACAAGTAGGACTGAAACGATTAATCATGATGAACTGATTATTGGAATAATCGTCAACTAATTTAGTAATCGGTTAATCATTAACGGGAGACTCCAGAAAGATAAATTCACTGAAAGAGCAAAAACACTCAGAGCTGCAATTAAGACAAAACATTTTGTATTTCACATACAAATAAAAAAGTTTATCTGTAAATATGTTTTACCCAGAAGTCAAGTGACAGTTTTAGCTTCACCTGGATAAAAGTATATAAAATAAATAAATAAAATCTCCACTTTTTTTGCAGAAAAGGATTAGGGCCACTTAAAAATAAAATAAGTGAGTTTTTCCTCAGAATTATGACTTTAAATGCAGAATTATGAGATTAAAATCAGATTTATCAGAAAAATGTCAGAAAAATTAGGAAAAAAGTTTGAATTCTTCATTTTTTGGCGGCCTAATCATCTTCCACACATTTTGCATTTAACAACTAATCAGTTAATCCAGAAAACAATCAATAGATCATCCATACACTGTATTGATAAGTGAAGCAGAGCTTTTCACATGTTGAAGTTTGATGGATCCTTTGCTCATTTACAGGAGTTGAATTATTCATGTTCACGTTAATGTATTTATATTACTTAATAAAACATAATAATAGTAATGATTGCCTGATGACCTTGTTGATCTCCCACAGGTTGCGTACATCCTGCAGGACTGGTGGCTGGTTTACTGGTGAGCGCCGCCGTAACGTTTCTGCTGCGAGCCGCAGCGCGTCGTGATTTTATTTCTTTTTTTCTGCGCCGCTCCCAGGGCGAGAGCCGACGTCTCCAACAGCTCGGCTCCTGTCGACAGCATCAGAAACGGCGTCAACGCCACGCCCACGGACGCAGAGCTCCACCTCCCCTTCTACCTCGGCGTTTACTCAGGTGAGCCTCACCGTTTGCGCGCGTAACCCCGGCAACGGGCTGACGCTAACCTCGCCGCAGGTCTCACCGCGGCCGCCGTGGTGTTTGGTTTTGTCCGGAGTTTGCTCATCTTCCACGGTTTGGTGAAATCGGCCCAGACTCTTCACAACAACATGTTCAACGCCGTCCTTCGCACTCATGTTCACTTCTTCGACGTCAACCCCATCGGTGAGCCGTCACGCCGCAAAAACTATGAACGTTACCAAGTAGCTTTGTCCAAATTACTTATTACACTTGAACTATTGAGTTAAGATAATATATGTTGCTCAAAAGTTACTTGTAAGGTAATTTTCTCTTATTTAAACTGTAATTAGATAAAAGCTAATTGGTAATATTTAGTATTTTTGTAGCGTAATGATGTTTCACTGATATGCTGCATGTTTTCTTTTGCTTTAGGACGAATTCTCAACAGGTTTTCTAAGGACATCGGCCAAATGGACTCCATGCTGCCCATAACCTTTGTGGATTTTTACCAGGTGAAAACTTAATGAATACTTAATAAAACTTGGCATTAATGTCGTATCTTAGTCATGAATAATGTTTTCTAACATCAGTCTAAAAGGATACACGACTAAAACACTTAAAAAGAAAGAAATATAATTAGTTTTTTTTTGTCATTTGTAGAAGTCTGTTTGCTCTAAATGAGAATTTATGATCAAAACCTCAAATTTAAGTTTTTTTCAAAAACTCGTGCAGATCCAATTGTAATTAGACATTTGGCTATGCTAACTATTCAATAATCAATAAAAACAAGATTCTGAAGGTGAATAGTGAAACGCAGTCAGATATGTTTGTTTTTAAAACCTCACCGCCTCTTTTCCTCCCAGCTGTTCCTGCAGAACCTCGGGGTCGTGGTGGTGGCCGCCTCCGTCATCCCTCTCATCCTCGTCCCCGTCGTCCCTCTGCTCCTCTTCTTCCTCTACCTGAGGCGCTACTACCTGCACACGTCGCGGGACGTCAAGCGACTCGAGTCGACAAGTTCGGCCACCGACCGAAACAAATGCCAATAATTCTAATAAGTGAAATATTTACCAGTGGTGTTGATGTCATTCCTGCAGCTCGCAGTCCAGTCTTCTCCCACCTGTCGTCGTCTCTTCAGGGTCTGTGGACGATCCGAGCGTTCGGAGCCGAGGAGAGGCTGAGGAAAACCTTCGACTCCTACCAGGACCTGCACTCAGGTCCTTAACGCCTCACCTGTAAACCTGCCGCTGCGTCAGAAAGTCAGGTTTTATTCTAATCTTTCTGCTCCAGGCGCCTGGTTTCTGTTCCTGATGACCTCCAGGTGGTTCGCTTTGCGGCTCGACAGCATTTGTTCCATCTTCATCACTTTCACGGCGTTTGGCTGCATCCTGTTCAGAGACGGTGAGGTTTAGGAATCAGAAACCGGTTCAAACCAGTTCAGGTCCTTAGAAACTTCTCTCCTGTCTTTTGTCGCTAAGCTGCCCTTTAACACTTAAACTAGAAGTTTTCCCTTCCAAATAAAAGCTTCAAACCGGAAGCAGATCCAGAGCTGGAGGTTTGGTTAAACTTTCATAAGAAACTGATCTAGAAATGTTTTTGTTGCTGTGGTCCTTAAAATATCAAAATCTCCAATCAATTTTATATTTTTTAATTTTTAAACATGAAATGATTTATAATTTGATCATTTTGAGAATTGAAAACCGTCGTCGTGGTTCACAGGCCTGGAGGCCGGGCAGGTGGGGCTGGTCCTGACCTACGCCGTGACCCTGGTGGGAAACTTTCAGTGGACTGTGAGACAAAGTGCAGAGGTGGAGAACATGGTGCGTAATGAGCTTTTTAAAGATCCAAACTGCTTTTCATCAGGCCAAAATGAAATATCAATATCATTAACTAAATGTTAAAGCTTCCCAGTTTGCATCCCAGTGTTTACCAGTTTATTTAAACCTGCAGGCTTGTTTCTCCCCAGAGCCTCAGGATTCAGCAGCAGAGCCTCTGTGCTGCAGCCGCGACAGCAGATCATAAATATTTGCAAATTTATGACACACAAAGCAAATCCAAGCCTCTGAATCTTTTCCAGATCGTGTCAAATTAAAACGACAACCTTCAGCATATTTTATCGGATGTCGTTTGGCTCATCTTGAAGATCATGTTTTGTTTGACATTTGACTCAGTTTTCAAAAGGAAACGGAAAACCTGAATAATTGTTTCTAAATAACAAAAAAGAACTAGTCCCAGAGCATGATGCTGCCACTGCCATCACTTCTAGACTCTGGTGGGAAACAATCTGAAAACTTTTTCAAGGGATCTTGTTTTGCATTTATCACATGTATAAAGAAAAGTGACTCTCAGCTTTTCCATGAGATTCTCTGTGAAGTTTCTGTGATCCGTCATAAAAACATCACATTTTTACGATCTCTGCGTCGATGCAGGTTTGGCTTTGTCTTCTGCTTCAAACTTGTTTTTATTCATTAAAATCTGATGTAACTGTGAACATCGGAAACCTGCATGAAAATTAATGTCTTTTCTCACTTAGTTAATCTGACATTTAGCTAATAAAACTCCTGGACGGAGCGGCGCTGCTTTCAGCTGCGCTTTGATTTAAGAACGTTTGTCACATTTCCAGATGACGTCGGTGGAGCGAGTGGTGGAGTACACGGAGCTGGAGAGCGAAGCACCATGGGAAACGGAGAAGCGTCCTCCTCCCGATTGGCCGAGCGAAGGGGCCGTGACCTTTGACACAGTCAGCTTCTCCTACACCGCAGACGGTCCGCTGGTCCTGAAAGACATCAGCGCTGCAATTAAACCGAGTGAAAAGGTTTTATTTTCCAGAAACTCCCTAACGTTTCACATCAGTCGGTTTTTAGTAATCGTCGATGGTTTTTTTTTTACCTGTAAGCCGTTCAGAAAAACACAAAACATATCCAACATTTCAGGTTTTATTTTGTAAAGACTCTTTTCTTCCTGTTCACACTGGTTTTGGGATCAACTTTAAGTCCCAGTTTGTTTTTCCAAATGATTTTGTTTCAGTTGGGGATCGTCGGAAGAACCGGAGCCGGGAAAAGCTCCCTGATCTCGGCTCTGTTCCGTCTGGCAGAACCTCAGGGAAAAATCTACATCGACGGTGTTTTGACCTCTGACCTCGGCCTGCACGACCTGCGCCAGAAGATGTCCATCATTCCTCAGGTGAGTGGAAACGGAGCGCGGCCTGGTCCAGTGGTTCTGTTACCCAGGATAAACCCAGAGATCAAAGTTTGATTGGGAGCAGCTTGGTGTCGGACTTTGGACATTCAGGTCACGCCCCCAACACACACACACACACACACACACACACACACACACACACACACACCGTGTGTTCAGCCGGTCAAAGATTTACCGCTAAGCGTTATCTCCAGTCTGCTCTGTGAATTATTGTTCTCATTGCTGCTTTAGTCTATTTAAAATCTGACTTTTTAAATTCAGTGTTGCTGTTTTTTGCCATTTTCTTTGACTTTAGTGAAACTGGAGAACATTCAGGTTTAAACAGAAAAACACAACGTAAACCAAAAAACGTTACATGTGCAACTTAAAAATAATGGTGACAGTATAAATGTTACTTTAATTTTAGCATAAATGCACAGTTTAAGTTGCACAATATTTAAAGTTCCTACATATTTATTTAATGAATGTAGCATGTGCCTGTAATAAAGTGCTGCTAGTTACAAGATGTATTTTACTTTTCTGTCTTTTGTCGTTAATCTGCCTTTTGTTAACACTTAACCCGGAAGTTTTTCCTTCAAAATAAAAGCATCAAACCGTAAGCTAGAGTTTTGTAGTTACATTTACTCGAGTAAGTTATTGAGAAAAAAATTAACTTTTAGGAGTATTTTTACTTTTTAATTGTTCTTCAGCAGTTTTTAACCTAATAATTCACCAGACTCAGAGAAACACCTTCAGTTTGTGTTAAAGCTTCATGAGGTTCAAATGGAAAGAAACTAATTGTTTTTAAATCACTTTGCCTGATTTAGTTATTTGTTGTTACTCGTACGAAAAATTAGCATGTTTTTCCTTAAGATCTACACTTGGGTTTATATTTTGGTCCGTCTGATGATGTGTTTTTTAAATATGAGGTGATTGATAATTTGATGAGTTACTCAGTACTTGAGTAGACTTTTTACCAAATTCTTTCTTACTGTAAAATAATTTCCTGGACGTCTATTTTTAACTTTTACTTGAGTCAAATATGTAGAAGTTGTGCTGCTCTTACTGCCCACCTCTGAGTACATTATTTATTTACTTTATTTATTAAAACTAAATAAAGTCGGCAAATGCAAAGTAAGGACACAAACAAACCAAAAATAATAATTCAAGGTGACTTACAGTAGATATTGTGTTGCACATGAGTTCAGGTATTTCAGCTCAGACTTTAGAGGATCATCAACGGTTTGGTTTTGTTTGTTTTCCCTCCGACCTAAAGGACCCGGTGTTGTTTACCGACACGCTGAGGAAGAACCTGGATCCGTTCGGCCAGCACTCTGACCAGGAGCTGTGGAGAGCTCTGGAGGAGGCGAGTCTTCACAGACAGTCACCAAGTCTTCTTTAGTAACACACACACATTACGACCGTCAGCGACGTTCCTGTTTCCTCAGGTCCAGCTGAAGTCCGTAGCCGAGGATCTGCCGGGGAAGCTGGAGACGGTTCTGGCCGAGTCCGGCTCCAACTTCAGCGTGGGTCAGAGGCAGCTGGTGTGTCTGGCCAGGGCCGTCCTGAGGAGGAACCGCATCCTCATCATCGACGAGGCCACAGCCAACGTGGACCCCCAGTACGCCCCGGGGAGAACCACACACACACACATGCACGCACGCACACACACACACACACAGAGGTTAGGTCAGATCATAAAACATGTTTTTGTTGTTGCAGGACAGACGAGCTGATCCAGAAAACCATCCGGGAGAAGTTCAGGTTCTGCACCGTTCTCACCATCGCTCACCGCCTCAACACCATCATAGACAGCGACCGCATCCTGGTGAGGCTTTTGATTGGTTGTTCGCTCTCTGCTTTGTTTCTTCACACCTGGCCCGTTTGGTCCACTTGAGTCCAGCTCGAGTTCATCTGGGAAGGTTCACAGGCTGCTCTGGTTGACCTGTGAACCTGATGTTCAGTTTGGTGGAAGTGAATTCAGGTCTGCTTAAATGATGAATCTGATCCAGACGCTGCTGCTGGAGTTCTGACTAAAACCAGGAAGTTAGAGCGGATCACCCAGTTCTATAGTCCTTCCACTGAGGGAATGGACTTTAAAATATGTTGTTAGTTTATAAATCACTGAACAGTTTAAAGATCTGCTGTTGTAGAAGCAGCATTCAGCTTCTAGGCACCACAGATCTGGAACAAACTTGTAGAAAGACAGAGTTCCTTTAAGTCTAGATGAAGAAGCACAGTTTGGATCTGCTTTTGGCTCGGTGGAACATTGACCCACATACTTGATGTTTATTTGCTTAATGATGGCGACAAAACGTGAAGTTTCATTTGTTGATTTGTTTTGTTTTCTGAGGTCAATCACTTTCACTGCCTTGTTGCTGAAATCTGCTTTACAAATAACTTTGACTTGTATTGTGCCTGAAGGTTCTTGACGGTGGCAGCATCCAGGAATTAGACCGACCCTTCGCTCTGCTGCAGAACCAAGATGGCGCCCTGTACAAGCTGGTCCAGCAGACGGGCGAGGCTGAGGCGGCCGCTCTGCTGGAATCAGCCAGACAGGTGAGGAAGACATGTTTTTACTTTTACCTCTGAGTAAATCTTCTTCATCCCAGTTAACAGAACCAATGTTTCCATAGGCTGCACACCGAACCCAACCCAACGACTCCCAGGACCCGAGAACGGAGCAGAACATTCCAGAACCAAATGAAATGTGATGTGGACGTTCAGGTGTGTCTTAAAGGAGAAAATCAAAACGCACAGAGTTTTTACAGACATGAATGTCATATTTATATTTTTAACATAGGAACAGCTCAACATTAGACAGTTTGACCTCATGATGCACCGATGATCTGATGTTTAGTCTAGACCGTCTGGATTCATTTGAAATGTTTGAAGTCTTTTAAACACAGGCATAAATGTTCAGAATTATAAATGTATCCGATAGCTCTGCACCAGTGCAGCTCATTTAAATACACCAGTAGCTCCTCTAGTTTAATAAATAATGAAGAAACTCAGACTGATGAAAACAAAAGGTCGACTACCTCAGCGAAACATGTAAATAAACGGTGGCAAACATTAGAAACGGTTCAGAAAGTGTGATTAGTAATTATAAATAAATAGCAAATTAAATAATGAAGAAATGTTGCACAGAGCACAAAATATTAGAGTGAGAAATCTAACTTTTCATTGACACTTGATGTTTTTTATATCAGAACTGAATCTGGTTTGAATATTTTTGGAGCCAGTTTGTCCTTCCACTCAACTTTCCAAATTATGCATCAAGTTCAAATGAAAATAAAGGAACTACATCATTTTTAGAAATTACTTTTTAAAAATTTTCTGTTTTATGAAAATGCATGTGTAGAGAAAAGAACAGTAAATATACCAAAGACGGATGAGTTTTTAGTTGCAATGACGGTTCTACAGAAACCCTGTGGCGGGTCCGGCTGCCGCGCAGCGGCGGCTCAGATTAGCTCCAATCGTTCACTGATTGAAGTAACTTTTTGTGACACTGTGTCTTCACTTTATAGTCTAGTTTTATCTAAATACATGCATTTTAAAGTAAAACCAGATAGAGTAGATGTAATGAAGGTCTTCATTACTTGGCGGCACAACACTTAAAATGTGTTAAATGATAAAAGAAATGCATGATGAAGGAAATGAAACAGATACAAACAGATTGAAATGTTTGTTTATTGTGTGTTTCCAGTGGCATCTCAGCTGGAACTGATCATGTCCTGTTAAAATACAACAAAGGAATAAAATAGGTATTGATTGTTAAAATGTTTGAAGGCTTTGTATGGGTGTGGCTTAACTCTCTCTTCCTCTGCAGGGTGTTCAGGCTAAAAGATTCCCCAGGGGCCTGAGCACCTTTTAAAGGTTCCGGAAGAGACCAAAGCAGATGGAAGAGGGGGAGCAGTAGAGCTATACATTTTATATATTTAATGTTGGATTTGTATTTATATGAATAAAAAAGGTCTTTTAGAGATGCTTAGAATGACTAGAATTTGATAATATATATTATTATGAGGATTTAGTTAGTTTGTCAAACCTTGTTTGTGTGTATGTATTTTGTTTTACCCTGTTTGTGAATTGGAACAGTCTGCAACTATAAAAGGCTGCATGTTGGCCATATTGAGGTGTGTTGCTGCTGAGACCCTAAGACACTGTCAGCAGGGTTGTTTGTTGTTAAATGTTGGTGAATAAACACCCAGTGGGGTTGCACAGTTTCTCTGCCTCAAGTCTCCTACTTCCTCCAGCCGCTAAGGGCCATCTTAACAGTAGAATTATGAAATTACTGGTATAAATGTCTTTGTTGCCTTTTCAGTGTTTGTCGTTGTCAGTTCCCATGTGAAACGAGTCGCTCATCCTCAGATTTCCTGTGTATTTTTGTCTTTACACTCCAAATGCTAATTTAATCCCTGTAAGGAAGAAAGAAAAATGTTATCTGTGAATGTAAACTGTTCAATTTTGTATGTATTTTCATAAACTGGAGTTTGTAAAACTTTGATGTTTAGTGTTTTTGTTTGGTAGCTGAATTAATTTGTGAAGAGTTGCTGTGAAATTTGACCTTAGAGAGAAACTGTGGACTGAGGTGAGGAGATGAATCTGCTAAACGGGAACATTTGAAACAAAAAAACCAAGATGATGTTCCTTATAATAATAATAATAATAATAATAATAATAATAATAATAAAGTATTCCTAATAGAAACACAGCAATTGTAAAAAAAAAAAAAAAAACTTGTGTTTTTGCAAAACTGAAAAATTTCTCCCATTACACCAGTGACATGATCAACAACCAATATGGTAGATAATTAAAAAAACAACTAAACAAATGGAAATCAGTGTTTTTCTAAAGGAACCAAAGACAGTATAGCTATGTTTCTTCAACATTTTCACTTAAAGTTTTAAATCAATAAATAAAAATATGTGAAATTTTCAGACAAACCACATAAAGGACATTTATTCAAAACCCTTGGATGAACGACAAACAAAAACGAGTTTGCAGTAAAGGCAACGTGTCAGATCCTCTATCAAAGATCTCCAGTCTGTTTCTTCCACCACGTTTGTCCAGGAGACACACGGGGTGCCGGTTTGCTACGTATCGCAGGATTCTTTTATTTCAGCAGTTACTGCATCCAACAACAGGAGGAGATGAAGTTATTGTCTCTAAACTCTAAAAATATCACTCGGTGTCTTTTATTCAACGTTATATGATTTATTTGTTGTTACCACCTATAAAGTAGACTGCCATACAACTTGTTTATATTAAAAAGTGTATGTAGGTCTCTATTGTTACTTCCATTAAAAGGTTGTTTTCCTTTTCTGATATGGTTTGAAATGCAGGTATTATATTATAGTTATGACCCTAACCAGGTGTTATTTATGTTAAAAAAGGTAAGAAGTTCTGATGCTGTGTTGGAATTGTTTTCAGATAAACTATTGAGAATAAACAATGTACGCATCAACACCTGTTAGCTCGGTCACTTCATTTAATTAGCGCTTATCTGGAGAGAGTGACCCATGTTGATCCTTATGAAGAGCTAAAGCTGATCATTTACATTTGATTGATTTATATAATCAAAGCTGTTGGTTTCACTTTGTTTGGATTTTTTCTTTATAGAAAGCTAAAGTACTGCAGTTCTAGAATAAGGCTGATATTTAGAGTGTCATGTCTTTGGGCCGCTGTGTCTCATCCAGGGACAAGAAGAGGCTCAACAACCTCAGGATGTGATGATACAAAGAAGAATGTTGCATCAAATCCAGACATATTTTCAATCTTGACACTGCTCTTAATGAAACTTGTAAAAGTGGTTTCTTCAGTCAGTGGCTCATTCAAACGTGCAGTTATACAGACTGCTGCAGGAGAAATGCCTACATTTATATCCAAGTCTTTGAGGAACGTTGAAATAATGTAACTTTGAATTGAATAAAGTATATCAAAATTGAACAAATTATATTAATTTGAAGGAATGTAGAGCAACAAAATGCGAAACTACACATTGTAATGATGGTTTTAAAAAAAGGTTTTAGATTTCTATGTGTTTATTCAAACTCAAATTATGCAGAACTGCTAAGACGCCACTTCAAACCAGTTTCTTACAGAATGGTTAACGATTATTCTAACATGAACACTAGCCAGTTTTCACATGACGGTAACAGTTTTGGAAAGGCGGCAGCTCTTGTAATTTCTCCTCCTGGACGGCAGGTGGCGCTGGACACAAACGAAACTCTCCACACCAACACATGGTTTTTGTTTGGCAGAAAACAGCCGAACGCGTTTGAAGTTAAGAAGTCGTTTTATGTTGTTAAGGTTTGTCTTTACATTATGTAGCTGACATGAGCAGCAGCTACCCCACGCCGGTTTACTCCCACGCCGGACGCGGAAGCTTCCAGGACGTTTACGAGCCGGCGGAGGACTCGTTCCTGCTGATGGACGCGCTGGAGAAAGACGCGGAGACGTTGCAGCAGATGAGGCAGGGCTGCACCTTTCCTCCCTGTGGACGATGTTTGTTTTCACCGTGTAACTGTGGGCCGTTCACGCTGTTTGCAGCCCCTGCGTGTGCGTGGAGGTGGGCAGCGGCTCCGGAGCGGTTTCTGCTTTTCTGGCGTCGGTGGTCGGACCTTCAGCTCTCTACCTGTGAGTCGCTCTGACACTGCATTCACTTCAGACACGATAATAAAAAGATTTATGCCATAAATCAGCGAAAAGAGACGTCTGGTAATTTAAAATAAGGGAAGTGAGGTTCTAAAGCCATGTTTGAAGCTTTGAACTCGTGTGGAAACGTAAAGTAAGGATCTAAAAACACACGAATCCTTCATAGGGGCTGATTCATATGTGTAATGTGTATATTTGTCAAACAATTCCTTTTTTTTTTTTTTTTGGTAACAAAATAATAAACATTGTATTTCCTAAAATGCAATATCAGCATTCTTTTAGTCTGCATCTACAACCTTAATCCATGTAATCCTCAATTTTCCCCAAACATGCAAATCTTAAAATCAAATGTCACTGATTGTAATTCGAAATAATCAAGACTAAAAAATAAGCAAAAATTTAGAAATATAAAAGGAAAAGTAGGTTTGTAGTTGGTCAGAATAATGACTGGTGTATTTGGCCAAATACGAAAGATCATAATAATATGAATACAGTTTCTAAATGTTAATATATGTAGCGACATCACAACATTTGCACCATAAATTATTCAACTGATTCTCTGTGTAATTTGAATTGGAGCACTGTACCAGGATGCATTAGAGAGCTTGGACATGTTTCCATAATTATATCAAACTTTAGTGTCATCACAGTAACATAACAGAGGCCTCCTTTTACATTAATGAAAATCATATTTAGCTAATTTATCACACAGTAAGACTCCAGGTGTCATGTGACCTCGCTGCATGCTGACCAGGTGGTCCAGCCTTTTGTAGCCTCAGCTTCCCTCAGACTGACAGTAGTAGCTATAAATTGGTTGGCAAGGAGGCAACAACTGACACAAAACATGAGGTTCCCACTCACTGGTTACCAGACAAACTCCTCCCTCCTGAGACACGATCATCATCAGTGTGAAGTCAGAAAAGACTCACGTAAAGCAGGAGCCCATCAGAAATGTTTCTGAACTTGTTTTTGACTTGCAGCTGCACTGATGTGAATCCAGCTGCAGCTCAGTGCACAGCCAGAACCGCCTGCTGTAACCGGGTCGCCCTGCAGCCCGTCATCACAGACCTGGTACCGATCACTGACAAACGTCTAAATAGGAGCAAAAGTTATGTGTTGCTGAATGAAACTGTTAGTGACTTTAACAAAGCATTAAAGACTCACACCATGTTACTGTAAGCTGAAGTTCAAAGAAATTTCATTCAACTTTATTAATTTTGAAGTATGGAAATCTAGCAACGCCTTGTATTAAATGATGTATTGTTTTCCAGGTACAGAGCCTTTTGCCAAGGCTTTGTGGGAAGGTGGACGTCCTCCTCTTCAATCCTCCCTATGTGGTGACGCCATCAGAAGAGGTCTGTAGCTAGCTAGCTAGATTAATATTTGGATTATGATCTAATGACTTGTTTAAATGTCCAGGTGGGCAGCAGAGGCGTAGAGGCGGCCTGGGCCGGAGGAGAGCGAGGCAGACAGGTTACTGACAGGTTCCTCCCTCTGGTTGCTCAGCTGCTGTCCAGTAGGGGCCTGTTTTACCTCGTCACCATCGCCGAGAACAAGCCAGGTTAGTAGGAATGTTTATGATGCAAAATCTAAGTTATAATAATGAGAAACTGAAGGTTTTGTTTCCCCACAGAGGAGATCATCAGGTTAATGAGGCAGTTTGGGCTGGAAGGACAGACCTGCTTGTCAACCCGAGCTGGGAACGAGAGGCTGTCTGTCCTGCGTTTCCATAGAAACCAGAAGAGGTGACAGTGAAAGGTAAGAACATTTATTGTAATGTCGTGCAGAATCTACGTTATTGCTACAGTCAGTGATTGACTTTAATGTAAACTGGTTTCTGATCATTTGTCAGACATGCATTAGTGGAGACACTTTAACTCTGTTGCTTCCAGACTACATGTCCATCTGGTCCCAGTTTGACCGCTCCACTGGCCACCAGCTCCAGAGCTTTAGGGAACGCTTGGTGCTCAGCCTCTCTGATTCTGGCAGACAGACTCTCCTCTGTGTCTCCAACCAACACCGGTACCGCTTCCTGGACCACGATGGCGCCTGCATCCACCTCTTCCTGCAAACAGCAGAGCTTGTGTTGTGTGGATGCAGGTTATTAAATGTATTTTCATCTTTCAGTGCAACACTTACTGCTACAAAGTGGACAGTACACCCAGTTATTTGCACTCCAGCCTGAAGAGCCTGTTTCTGGGCATTGACCCCCTTGAATGATGGCAGCAGAGAGGGATGGATGTTGAGGAGCCTCCCTGGAGTAAAATGTTAAAGTTATCTGGGGTCCAAATGAAAACCACAGACATTTTATTTTTAAAGAAACTTTACAAATAAAGACTTTCATACCATTCCATTTCTTGACAAAGTTCCCAGTAAGGATCCTCATGAAACCAGCAAGGCAGACCAGTTCCACTCCAAACTCCTCCAGCACCGAGTCGATGGTGGCGTCAAACTCAGCTCTGCTGCCATACAGCTTGTGATCCACAACCTGTTGGGATAAAAACAAACCAGTCAGTAAACCTTCACATTCAGTCTGATAAATCCAAACCTACCCTGGTCTGGATCCCAGCCAGCGCTGCTCTCTTCAGACCCTGAACTCCAGGTCTGTTGGAAATCACCAACACGATCTCTGCTGAGCTGCATGGAGCTTTAGCCTGAACCATCAGGGCCTGCAGGTTGGTACCTGAACACAACCTGAGATGTTCACCAAGAGCATCACCACCAAACATCTAGTGACGTCAACACACCTGTACCAGAGATGAGAACCGCTACTCTGGTCTTCTTCTGTGTTGTCGCGCCATTTCCATGGCAACCAGCATCCTTCACTTCCACAGTCCCAGCATTCATCAAGCTCTGCTTCAGGTTGCAAACCACCACAGAGGAAACATCTGGAAAAAAAATAAAAAGATGAGCTGAATATATTTACATCTACATTTGCTTTAACTGTTCTTTTCTCACCAGGTTGCTTAGGAACCAGACGGCCCACCACCCAGGCCTCATCATGGACCTGCAGCTGAGACAGAACCTTCTGAGCATCAGCCGGACCGACCACCAGAACCGCACCGAGCCCACAGTTAAAGGTTCTGCTCATCTCCTCCTCACTCAGTCGTCCTTCCTCATAGAGCCAAGAGAAAACAGCTGGAATCCTCCACTGGGACGCATCTGCAACAGACCACCACCATCAGTGTTTCTTCCTTCCATTAAACTTTACTGAATGAAGATCAGAGTCTGTCTGCTTTCCTCTCACCCAGCTCTGCTGCCAGACCCTGGGGCAGAACCCGGGGCAGGTTCTCCAGAAGCCCCCCACCGGTGATGTGAGCGTAGGCTTTAACCGCCCCGCTGCGCAGGACGGGCAACAGCAGGCGGCTGTAGATCCTAGTAGGAGTCAGCAACACGTCACCTAAACAGGAATTAAAAATAATTAATCAAGGTTTTTTAAGTCTTACAACATTTGGACCAAAGTTTATTAGAAACTGACCGACAGTCTGGTCCTGGTTCCCAAACGGAGCAGCAGAGCTGAAGCTCAGTTTGCTTCTCTCCAGAACTTTACGGACCAGACTGAAGCCGTTGCTGTGAATCCCAGAGGAAGCCACTCCGATGAGCACGTCTCCCGCCGAGATGTCCTGTAACCGTGGCAACAAGGCACCCCGCTCCACTGCGCCGACGCAGAACCCGGCCAGGTCGTACTCTCCTGCAGCGTAAACACCAGGCATCTCCGCCGTTTCACCGCCTGTCGGATGGTTCAGAAACATCATGAAGTCCGTTTGGGTTTCAGACCGGCTGCGTCGGTTCGGGTTGGTTTTTACCCAGCAGGGCGCAGCCGGCCGCCTCACACGCCTTAGCGACGCCGCCGACGACGGAGGAGGCCACCTGCAGGTCCAGACTGCCACAGGAGAAATAGTCCAGGAAGAAGAGCGGCTCGGCGCCGTGAGCCAAAACGTCGTTCACACACATGGCGACCAGGTCCTGACCCAGACCGCCATGACGGCCACAAGCCTGGGCGACCTGGGAACAGAACCGGTCAACAAAAATCATTTACTACTTTTTAGTGAAAAACTTCAGGTGACACAAAATAAAGACTATATTTGTCCAGGGAATGTTTCAAAGAACAGACTTTAAACACTAAAAATGACCTCTGACCTTCAGCTTGGTTCCAACGCCGTCCGTCCCAGACACCAGGATTGGGTCAACAAACCCGGCCGCCTTCAAGTCAAACAGTCCAGCAAAACCTCCCAGCTCTGCATCACAACCTGACAGAAAGAAACATCAGTGGAGCAGAACCACAAACTCCCTGTTGCCAAAGAGCAGAGGAGCGTTACCGGGTCGGGTCGTGGTTCTGGCCAGAGGCTTGATGATGTCCACCAGCTTGTTCCCAGCAGCGATGTCCACTCCACTGTCCTTGTAGGTCAGACGCCTGGAACAAAAAGAAATGTTGAAAACTTTAAAGATCTTGACTGCATGTCAGCAGGTGAATGAGCAGCTAATAAAAGTTACTTTATATTTAACTACAAACATAAACTGACTGCATAAAACTGGAAATAATTACTGACAAACACAAAGTAGGTCAGTAAACTGGAACAAATCTTTGTCTGAATGCATCTCAGTCTTTTTGGCTTATTTATACCCAACAACTTTAACTATTGTCAACTTTATCCATAAGCCTTTTATTGCAGTGGCTGCAGAAAGTTAACAGACCGGTTCTGGTTCAGGTGAGCGATGGCCCGGTGGCCGATGTCTCGCCGGTACACGGCGCCCGGGAACCCGACGGCGGCCATGCCCCGATTGGCCGCCTGCAGGGCGGCGTCCAGGCTCGGCCTCACCGCCGTCACGGCCAGCACTCTGCCGCCGCTCGACACCACGCGGCCGTCCTTCAGGGCGGTGCCGGCGTGGAACGCCTGCAGCCCGGCGTCCTGCAGCTGGGTCAGACCTGCAGCACAAAACACCACGTCACGCACCCAACGCCTCGACTTCTGGTCCAGAACCAGAACCCTGCAGCAGGCCGACCTGTGATCTCAACCCCTTTCTGGTAGGAACCCGGGTATCCGGTGCTGGCCATCACCACGGTAACCGCAGAGCTGCCCTGCTGCCACACGGGGGCGTTGGAGGCCAGGTTCCCGCTTACAGTGTTCATGATGACGTCATAGAGGTCGCTCTGCAGCAGAGGAAGCAGAACCTGGCATTCTGGGTCCCCAAAGCGACAGTTGAACTCCAGAACCTTTGGGCCCTGATTGGTCAGCATGAGGCCCGCGTACAGAACGCCTGGAAATACAAAAAATGAGAAAATGTACTTTTACTACACCACCCTTTGGCTTCCATTTAAACTATAAAATAATCTAATTCCTGCTGGATTATTTCTAAACTTTAAATCTGTTACAATCAGTTTTACCCATATAAGGAGTTCCTTCCTGCCTCATCCCATCCACAGTCTTCTGCAGGATCGTCTCTCTGATCTGCTGCAGCAGCTCCTGACTCACCTGTGAGACAAAACCGTCAGCTAGAAACCAGAGAAGATAACAGATCAAAGTCACCCTAGCAACTGTCTCCTAGCAACCTGTGGGGTGGGGCAGTAGGCGCCCATCCCGCCGGTGAGGGGCCCCAGGTCTCCGTCCTGGAGTCGCTTGTGGTCCTGAGCCGGCGGCATCAGAGACACCCAGGTACCGTCGCTGAAGCACAAACACTTAGAGACAATTTTACAAAATTAAGTTCAAACGTTTCGTGAAGGCAATTTAGCAGAAAGTTTAACATTAAACTCACAGACACTTCCTGTCCCTCCAAAAACTCCTCAACCACAACCGTAGTTCCTGCCGACCCAAAGGCTCCGTCCTACAAGAACAGGGATCTTTTATAAAACCAACTCTTTTTAAAGTTGCATTAGTTCGGTGTGGAGTGTTTTGGATATTTTTATTTTCCTGCCTTCATGATCTCCATGACGGCCCGGCAGGCTTCGTCCCGATCCCCGGCGACGATGACTCCCTTCCCCGCCGCCAGCCCGCTGGCCTTCACCACCAGAGCTGGAAAGTCGGCGCTGTGAAGAAAGTCCAAACAGATTCAGAACCAAACTTTTTAACTTGGGTTTCAGAAGACGAGCAGAGGTTCGGAGCGGACCTGCGGATGAAGCTGCAGGCGTCCTGCGGGTCGCTGAAGGAGCCATAGCGAGCCGTGGGAACGCCGTGACGCTCCATGAAGGCCTTAGCGAAACTCTTACTGGACTCCAACTGAGCCGCCGCAGCCGTCGGTCCAAAACACAGAACGCCCGCCGCCTTCAGGTCGTCCACCATACCTGCAGAGACGATACGGGTCAGAACCGCCTGAGGTTTGATCGAGGGAGAAAAACGACTGGAATCTCGACTCCACCTGCTGCCAGCGGAGCTTCGGGTCCGACTACGACCAAACCGACGTGGTGGTCCTTACAGAACTGAGCCAGGATGCTGTGGTTGCTGACCGACACCTCTGCAGAAACAAGAAGCCTCAATGGTGCTGAAAGCTACAGAAACTCGCTTCTGTTTTTACAGATTTCCAACAAGTCCCTGCAGCAAAAACGCAGCATGGAGTCTGACCCACTAAAAACACTTCGAGTCATTTCAGATAACAGCTCAAGCAGCAACAAAGTCAGTTTCTCAGAGGAGATTCTTCCCAGGTACCAGAGTTGCTGATCTTGCCGCAGTTGGCGGTTCCCGCGTTCCCAGGAGCCACCAGAACCTGCTGGACCCGGGGCGACTGGGCCAGCTTCCAGGCCAGCGCGTGTTCCCGTCCTCCGCCTCCCACCACCAGAACCCGCTCCGCCATCGCGACTGGAACCAGAACAGATTCAATTTAAAGGAGGATTTCCACTCAACGCGTGAAGCCACCGTGTAATTATGCAAGCGCTGACCTTTAGCAGGAAGAGCCGTGACCTTTTCCAGGGGATGGAGGTCCGATTAGATCGTAAATAATAGATCAGCTGGAACAAAAACCAAACAAGACTTTTAGCACAATTTGCATCGATCTGGAGCCCCAGATTACTGCAGAAACTGTGTAAAGATGAGCAGGCTAATCTCTGGGACAACAAAGAGTCCAGTGTTTGACCTCAGCTGAACATCTTTAACTCTGATTCGAGTCACTCGGCTCATGTGACCCAAAGCACACTGAACATGCAGCTTTTAGACACACGAACTGATAGAAAAGCTCATATAATAGCCTGGGAACAGTGTTAAAATGCTGCTATTAAAAAATGGATGCGTTATTTACATCCAACATCAAAATTAAGCTTTTCTTTTCTACGCTTTGTTGACTTTAAAGCGAATCTAGTAGCAAAAACACGTCGACATGCACAAAATTAACTAACCTCTGTTAGTATGAACCAGGAATTAGTCGCAGCCCGTTTCACCTGATGTGCATTCCCTGCCCTCTGTGGGTGGACTGACCCTCCGTGGAAGCTGCGGGGACAAATGTCACGCAACACAACATTAACACACACACACACGCATTGCGTGGACTCACAGTGACGCAGGGTGAGAAAAACATGCAAAGTTTGCACAAAAAGAGAAAAATAAAGACGAAAGACAAGCAAACACCGTCGACACGTGTGGAGTCTTACCTTCACCAAATGATGGGAGGCAAACTTTTTGGATTCCACAACTTCCTTTGGAAGACAACGCGCAAAGCATCACGGGAGACGTAGTTAATTTATCGCTGATAGCTAAACTGAAAAAATAGTTATTTTTTTTATTTTTATTTTTTTTACAATTTGCAATAAATTACCATTAACATTTCATGAAGCAATAATTAATCTTAAATTATCATAATACAAGAAAATTAAAGTAATTTAACTCTTTAACAACTTTGTGAAGCCTTGTGGTTAATTTTGACACATTTACATGAATATAAGTAGATAAAGTTTCTCTTGAAACTCTAAAGCACTTTTCCCAAATATAAAATCAACCTTAAATTATACTAAGAACAAAACATACAGAAGAAACTAAACATTACATTTTTGTCAGAAAAACAAAACTGCACCAGCTAAACTCCACTGACTGAAAATCCCAATTTTTCCACTTTACTTTTATTTTTAAACATTTTTGCAGAGACAAACAAACTGAACTGGATATTTCATCCAACAATATTTTACAAACTAACATTCATTAATCATTTACCTGCATTTTATGTATTTTCATACTTAAATACTTAGGTAACACTTTATTTGAAGGGGGTTGAATAAGACTGTTATGACACTGTCATAAACATGACATAACACCTGTCATGAACATCAATAAGTTTTCATGAATATTTATGACTGTTGTCATAAAGCGTCATTCGGTAAATAATGACACTTTTAATACAAAGTTGACGTTATTCAAAATGTCTGTTATGACAACTTGTCATCTAGATTAATGACAAGTTGTCATAACAGACATTTTGTCTAGATTCTAGACAAAATATCTTCGTTATGACAACTTGTCATTAATCTAGATGACAAGTTGTCATAACG